GCAAACAAGTTTTCTTCCGAAGCTTCAAACTATGACCTCTAGTTCTAGAGCCAGCCATATCGAAATATCGATCCCTATCCACTCTATCATAACCATGAAGGAATTTAAAGACTGTCACCATATCCCCCCTTACTCTTCTAGCTTCGAGTGATGGCAAGTCTAATTCCCTCAGCCTCTCATCATAACCGAGATTGCGTATTTCTGGCACCAGTTTTGTGGCATGTCTTTGAACTTTTTCAAGCTTAGCTATGTGCTTTTTCAAGTGCGGATTCCAAAAGGGGGCTGCATATTCGAGTTTTGGCCTCACATAGGTTACATAAATATTTCTGAACATTTCCTTGTCCATGTGCCTGAAGGCTACCCTTACATTTGATAAGAATGCATATGCTGCCCTTACTACGCCATTTATATGTATTTCTGGAGACAAATCTGCCAATATGTTTACTCCTAGATCTCTCTCATTTTCTGTCTCCTGAAGTTGTACTCCAGCCACCGAGTAGTCAAGCTTGGGCCTTCTTGCACTTGTGCCCATTCTCATTACCTTACATTTTGAGGTATTGAATTTCATTAGCCACTTTTCTGACCACTCATGCAGATTATTTAGATCCTCCTGAAGTTCTCTACCATTGTTCTCGTTTTTTACTTTCTTCACAATCTTTGCATCATCTGCAAACATATTCATGAATGAATTTACAGACTCTGGTAGGTCATTTACATATACAAGGAACAAAAGTGGCCCTAAAACTGAACCCTGTGGAACTCCACTACTAACTCTTCTCCATTCAGACACTGAGTGTCTTACTCTAACCCTCTGTTCCCTTCCTTCTAAGTAAGTTTTTATCCATTCCAAGACATTTCCACCTATTCTAGCCATTGATTGCAGCTTCCTAATAAGTCTCCCATGTGGAACAGTGTCAAACGCTTTCTGGAAGTCTAGGAATATGCAATCTGCCCAGCCCTCTCTTTCCTGTAAGATTTGGCTTACCTCATCATAAAATTCTAATAAGTTTGTTACTGTTGATCTTCCTTCTCTGAAGCCATGTTGCCTCACTGACAAAAAGTTGAAGGATTCCAAGTGAAGAGAGATATGTTTCCTTAGTAGTTTCTCCATAACTTTGCAAACTATGCTGGTCAAGGAAACTGGTCTATAGTTCAGAGCCGTATCCCTCCTTCCCTTTTTGAAGATAGGTATCACATTTGCTTGTTTCCAGCATCTTGGAATCTCCCCCGACTCCAATGACTCCTTAAATATGATACTTAGTGCCACTGATATTGTGTTTGCGCATTTTTTAAGCACATGAGGGGATATGTCATCAGGACCTGTAGCTTTATGAACATCTAAATCCATCAGCGCTTTGCATACCTCTGTGGCTGTAAGGTTGATGTTCTCTAATACCGGCCCTTGAGCTTCTATCACTGCAATCTGAGGGGGTGGGGTATTTTCTACTGTAAATACTGACTGAAACTCCTTGTTCAATTCTTTGCAGATCTCTTCGTCCGTCTCAGTGATGCTTCCATCCGCTCTCTTTAGCCTTAAAACCTGTTCTTTTACCTTCAGTTTTCCTCTGATAAAGCTGTGGAAAAGCTTGGGATTTTCTTTCGCCTTCCTGGTGATGTCCCTCTCATAATCTTTCTCTGCCTCTCTCCTTTTACTTAGGTAGTCATTTCTTGCTCTTTTGTAGGTTTGCCAGGCATTTATGTTTTTTCTCCTCCTATACCTTTTCCAGCATTTGTCTCTCCACTCCTTAGCTCTTTTACACCCATTATCGAACCATTTCTCTCTGGCATGAATTACACCTACTTTGGTGACAGGTATGCAGCAATCTACAATCTTCCCATATTTCTCACAAAAGATGTCATACATTTCTTGTACAGATTTGTTGTAAAATAAGGTTCTCCAGTCAATAACTGCAAAAAGCTCATTCATTTTGATGTAATCTCCTTTCTGATAGTTCCTCCTCATGTCCTCAGTGCCTCTACTCTCAGGAAGAATGTCTTCAATGATATACTCCATCAACAACACACAGTGGTCACTCTTTCCAATTGGTGGTTCATACTCAATATTTTCAATATCCAACACATTATCTGTGAACACCAGATCAAGTAGTGATGGCTCATCCCCACCCCTGGCTCTTGTTGGTTCCATTACATGTTGGTGTAGGAAATTCCCTTGTACGCAATCTAGGAATCTTGCCCCAAAGGAGTCCTCACCACTGTGTGGGTCAAGATTTATCCAATCTATCTCTTTATGATTAAAGTCTCCCATAATCAAAATCCTACATTTTTTCTCCCGCGCCATGTTAACAACTGAGTTTATGACTTCAATCGTACCTATATGACTTTCCTCATAAATTTCAAGCCTATTTTGGTTCCTTGGTGGGTTGTATACAACAGTTATTATAATGCTCTCTGACCCAGTATTTATGCGAGCAACAAGAAATTCCCTGAACTCACTTTCTATAGCCAAGTTTATCTCTTCAACTTGAATCCTCTCACTTATGAGCAGTGCTATCCCTCCACCAGTCCTCTCAGATCTTTCGACCCTTAGTATTCTGAAGCCCTTAGGAAAAACTGTGACACTGTTTATGTCCTCACTCAACTTAGTCTCTGTAATTGCTACTATATCTGCCTTACTGTTGTGAATCCTATCTTTTAATTCTACTGCCTTACCAGCTAATCCATCAGCATTTGTGTATAACAATCTTAATGAGGCCCCATCCCCTGATCTTCTGTCATTATCTTCTTTATCTCCCCTTTGTCTGGAAGTATTCTGTAACGAAAATTTTTCTTCTCTTCTTCATTTCTTTCATCATTTAACCTTCTTGCCTCTTGCAACAAGTTTTTGATCTTTCCCATCTCTTCCTGTGTTCTGTATCGTCTAATGAACACTTCTTTGCATTCTTGAAGGTCTTTTAGACTTTTTTTTCTCAACAATATTTCCCTACATGTCTCCCCTCTCTCAAAGGTTACTTTTGTTGGTCTCGGCTTTCCTTCCCTCGAATATTTACCTAGTTGGTGTATGTTTACAATATCCTCAGGACCACATACTACTCCAAGCTTTCTTATCAGGTCTACAACCCTAGCTTTATTTTCTTCAAGTCTCCCCTGCCATGTTGGCTCCTGGGATTCACTTATGCCTGAGATTACCACTGTCTTCTCCTTATCAAGTGCCTGTCTGATGAGTGGGTTTGCCCTTTCCATCACAACGTCTTTCATTTTTTCGATTACTGTCTCTTTATAGTCAACTGTTTGTATGTTTTCCAGTGCCACCACCTTTACAGCCTCTTTTACTGCCACATTCCCCTTTAGTGCATCAGCAAAGGACGTTTTCATGGCATCATTTTCCATATTCAGCTCCTGGAACTCTTTTCTGAACTGTTCAATGTTTTCCTTAATGTGTGTGTGTGTGTGTGTGTGTGTGTGTGTGTGTGTGTGTGTATGATTACCTAATTGTGCTTACGGGAAAGAGCCCAAAGCTCGTATCTTCCCGTCTCCTTATCATACCTGTCCTTAAAACTAGGGATTGAGATAGCATTTACTACCTCCTCGCTTTGCCAATTCCAATTATCAACTACTCTTACACTGAAAAAGTACTTCCTTACATCCTGCAAAGAAGTTTTCTTACGAAGCTGCAAACAATGACCTGTAGTACTAGAACCAGCCGTATCAAAATATCGATCCCTATCCACTCTATCATAACCATGAAGGAATTTAAAGACTGTCGCCATATCCCCTCTCAATCTTCTAGCTTCGAGTGATGGTAAGTCTAATTCCCTCAGCCTCTCATCATGACTGAGATTACATATTTCTGGTACCAGTTTCGTGGCATGTCTTTGAACTTTTTCAAGCTTAGCTACGTGCTTTTTCAAGTCGGATTCCAAAAGGGGGCTGCATAGTCAAGTTTTGGCCTCACATAGGTTACATAAATATTTCTGAACATTTCCTTGTCCATGTGCCTGAAGGCTACCCTTACATTTGATAAGAAAGCATATGCTGCCCTTACTATGCCATTTATACGCATTTCTGGAGACAAATCTGCCAGTATGTTTACTCCTAGATCTCTCTCATTTTCTGTCTCTTGAAGTTGTACTCCTGCCACCGAGTAGTCAAACTTGGGCCTTCTTGCATTTGTACCCATTCTCATTACCTTACATTTAGAAGTATTGAATTTCATTAGCCACTTTTCTGACCACTCATGCGGACTATTTAGATCCTCCTGAAGTTCTCTACCATTGTTCTCATTTCTTACTTTCTTCACAATCTTTGCATCATCTGCAAACATATTCATGAATGAACTTACAGACTCTGGTAGGTCATTTACATATACAAGGAACAAAAGTGGCCCTAAAACTGAACCCTGTGGAACTCCACTACTAACTCTTCTCCATTCAGACACTGAGTGTCTCACTCTAACCCTCTGTTCCCTTCCCTCTAAGTAAGTTTTTATCCATTCCAAGACATTTCCACCTATTCTAGCCATTGCTTGCAGCTTCCTAATAAGTCTCCCATGTGGGACAGTGTCAAATGCTATCTGGAAGTCTAGGAATATGCAACCTGCCCAGCCCTCTCTTTCCTGTAAGATTCGGCTTACCTCATCATAAAATTCTAATAAGTTTGTTACTGCTGATCTACCTTCTCTGAAGCCATGTTGTCTAACTGACAAAAAGTTGAAGGATTCCAAGTGAAGAGAGATATGTTTCCTTAGTAGTTTCTCCATAACTTTGCAAACTATGCTGGTCAAGGAAACTTGTCTATAGTTTAGAGCCGTATCCCTCATTCCCTTTTTGAAGATAGGTATCACGTTCGCTGGTTTCCAGCATCTTGGAATCTCCCCTGACTCCAGTGACTTTTTAAATATGATACTTAGTGCCACTGATACTAAGTTTGTGTGTGTGTGTGGGTGTATTGTGGTCTTACGTGTCACAATTAATCCACATTCGAATAGGGGTGAAAAAAAGATAGTTTGCAGCTGTTGAATAAATGCTGGATACCCTTCCCAACGCCCCGAGTCGGGATTGAACTCGCAAATGTCAAGCTTGTCACTTCCCAACTTGCGCGCTCTACCACTGAGCTACTGGAGCCCATCTTTATACAATAATAATAATAATAATAATAATAATAATAATAATAATAATAATAATAATAATAATAATAATAATTTAAAACAAAGAAATTATAAACTCCCAGACAAAGCAAGCCTTAAGGCGAGTGTTTTGCAACAACCTAGCCCAGAGAACTCAAGTTCTCCTCCCCCCTCCCTACCCCCTCCACGTAAGAGAAATACAGACATACCAAAGCCCGTGGACAAGGCGCCAGTGTTTTGGTATGAGGGAAGGATACGAAGAACAACGCACTATAGGATTCGGCGCCACTATTACTATCCTACCATTAACGCCTCTCTCTCTCTCTCTCTCTCTCTCTCTCTCTCTCTCTCTCTCTCTCTCTCTCTCTCTCTCTCTCTCTCTCACTGTCCTTGCGTTTGATGTTTGTCCTTGTTTCTGGTACTCATTTGACCCAGAGTTCAAGGATTCATTTTACTCTGTTAAAGTAAATTAATATTGCAGCACACTTTTGGTATAAATCTAATGTGCAAGGGGGCTATCCTCATCGTCATGTACTCACCTACTCGTTTTAACAAGAGAGAACAAAATACATTCCACGATGCTTCCATCTCAAGCAATTCAAAATTTATTCATAGAATATATATGATTACTACTACTACTACTACTACTACTACTACTACTACTACTACTAATAATAATAATAATAATAATAATAATAATAATAATAATAATAATAATAATAATAATAATAAGAAGAAGAAGAAGAAGAAGAAGAAGAAGAAGAAGAATTAGAAAGAGTTTCAACACAGCTCCATTCACTACCAATAAGACAGCGTAGCTTTGTAACATCTATGAAACAGAGCTCCTTCGCACTGACGATATCCTCTCTTAGGGTAATCCCATTATCAATGACTATGATGCTAACAAATACTCTAGATATCTCTAGCTATAATATTTTCCTTGTAGTACGTTCATGATACCCCAATGACTCATAAAGTCATTGTTTACTCCATCAAAATCTTGTATGATGATATTGTTACTTTCGGTCCCCGTTCTTTTAACATGATAAGTTCAGAATGTTTTTGTCAACAGATTGGTGGGATGCATCTCCACATTCCTCAGCGCGTTGATCTTCTTCTTCAAAGCAGGTTTCTAGAGGGAGCGCCTCATGCTAACAGGTTTAAATGCGCAATAAATGTATTCCTGAACACCATTTTATTTCTTTTTACATAACATACTTTATTATTCCGAGCAAAGCAAATAAGGATCCCTATGTCTCACCTATATGTCAAGAAAGCGGTGACTCCAAGATAAAACTGAATGCAAGGTATCAATCATATCTCTGTCCAATGCAAACTACAAACAATGGACGTACGATTCTAGCTTTTAACCAATTTCATAACTTCTAAGTTTGGGCCATTATACTTCAGCTCTATCATGTCTCAGTTCCCTCCCGAAGAAGATCAAAAGTCCACTGGCAGTCCATGCAACTATTCTTGCACATTGGGTCCTCCATGACCCGTTCCGCTCTTCCTTGAAAGGAGATCTATCCACTTATCACCCTGATCACTTGTAAAACATCTGAAAACATACTGTCACTTCACACTTCATCTGGGAGATGATTCATTTACATACATAACAAAGAGTGGATCCTGCCAGAGAACCCTGTGTGTCCATAAATTGCATGTCTCCTTTTTTATTCCTAGCACATTCTCTGCTTTCAAACATCCATGCTCATAACACTAAGCTATTCTTTTCAAGGAACTCAGCCATATTACTCAGTGTAACTCTTACCGCCCTATGGGTCCTCCATGACCCATTCCACCCATCCATGGGTGGAGAATCTAAAACAACAACTCAGTGTAAGCATTAAAATAAATTCCTAACCTATCCTTTGCACTCAACATTTAAGTAAATTAATAACTGTAGATTTAGTCTCAACAAGAAAAAGTTGTGCCTTCAATTACTATTTCATATATCTTAGTATCCTGCTGTAGATTTTTTCTGCTATTAACATGAACTTTGCAAATAATACTTAGTAACCCACTCAGAAATACTAAAACATGCATGATATTCAGTGCCTAGAACATGTGTTGGCATTATAGCATTTTATTATCATTTTCCTTCTATTCTGATCACTGGCATTCATCCTGTGCTCAGTGTGACTAAAGTGTTAGTGACGTACTCGCGCGTTAAATATGTATATATGAATGGACTTTTATTTTTTTTTCTAAATAAGTGTCCTTCAAAATACGCAGTTATCATAACACACACACTTTCTTCCTCATTTATTTGTGGTACGTCTTCCTATGTTCTGTTACTATAATATTTCAGTTCCTTAGTTTTATTTCAAAACTTTTATTAAATTCCAGAATTTTCAAAGCATACAGAAATATAGACAAGACAATAAATATTTAACTGATAACTAAGAAAAAAAATCCTTAATAGAGCGTCCTTAAATGTGTCTATAATACGAATACAAACTTAGACATATTAACTTAGAAAATATATATATGAAAAGTAGAAGAAAATTATAAAAATCAACAGTCTGGAAAAGCATCAGTCTCATCCAAAGTCACAACTGTTCTTCTTTTTCGCTATATGTGCTAGTTGGGGCATAATTGGGTCAAGTGGTAGAAAGGAATGCACATACTGTGTGCGCCTCATAACATAGTACAGAAATAAGTGGCTCCGACATTAAGTGGTGTGTGCCTACATAACTCTCATTAAACGACTGGTGAAGACTTCTCTAGTGGTACGTTTTCACTCCATTCTCAGTTGGTACTCTCTCTCTCTCTCTCTCTCTCTCTCTCTCTCTCTCTCTCTCTCTCTCTCTCTCTCTCTCTCACTTAGCTATTTTTCTTCTATTTAGGAGATTATTAATATCTATATAAACAGGTCATTTTATCCTAATGGTATCTGAATAGGCCAAGTTGAGGGTGAATGAATTTGTACGGTATCATATTGTATAAGTCAATTCCATATAGTTTAGGAATATTGTTATGGGTGTTGATAAAAATAACTAAATGAAATAAAAAGTTTAAGACATATCCATACACATTCGTGAGGAAATGAGTACACATACACACACACAGACATACTCATAAAAAAAACTTTGCTCAGTAGTAGATCAAAAGTTAAGCTCAACAACTATCATGGTGGTGCAGTAATTCATTCAATATTGCCACTTCAAAGAGCATAAACTAACCCTTGCAATTTATGGCAAAGCTACAGGTGGTGAACAGGGTTACGCGAGAATTGTCACGTATGAAACTAGTGCGTTTTATGGAGCAGGAGGGAAAAACTGATTTTCATTAGATAAGTTTGTAGACCACAGGTCAACGATATCTCAAAACAATAATAATAATGATAATATATATATATATATATATATATATATATATATATATATATATATATATATATATATATATATATATATATATATATATGGTTGAGATATTCAGTAAAGTTTTTCATAAATTGAATTCCTAGTTCTAGCAAGAAAAGTTTTTTCCTTATTTTAGACTTTTTGTGGTATAGTCGGTAGCGCCTTGTGCACACTGAGGGATTGCCAAGTGTATTAGGTTCTATTCATAGTCAGGGGATATATATATATATATATATATATATATATATATATATATATATATATATATATATATATATATATATATTATATATATATATATATATATATATATTAGCTCTCCTTTGTCAAGCCCAAGGACTCGGGATACAATTCTGCAATTACCTTCATATTTTGATGTCTAATTAGCAAAGGCTCTTCTGTCTGTCTATTTACTTTCTGAATAAGATAAACCTCCAGGTATATTTATTCGTGACGGGAAAAATTAAATAAATTTTGGCGTAGAACACAGTCTCTCTCTCTCTTTCTCTCTCTTGTATGTCTTCCCCTAGAAAAGAAGAAGAAGATATGCAAACGACACCCTTGTAGCATTTCGTGTCCCTCTTCCCTTCTACCCTCCTTACCTCTCCCCTCTCTCATGGTTCGGGTATCCGGGCCATCGTTCCCTCATTAACAAAAATGATCGCCACCTCCATTTTTGGATCCTCTCTCTCTCTCTCTCTCTCTCTCTCTCTCTCTCTCTCTCTCTCTCTCTCTCTCACACACACAGAGTTATGATAGAGTGGATAGGGATCGATATTTTGATATGGCTGGCTCTAGAACTAGAGGTCATAGTTTGAAGCTTCATAAGAAAACTTCTTCGCAGGATGTAAGGAAATACTTTTTCAGTGTAAGAGTAGTTGATAATTGGAATTGGCTAAGCGAGGAGGTAGTTAATGCTATCTCAATCCATAGTTTTAAGGACAGGTATGACAAGTATCACTAAGTCTAAAATGGAACCGATGAGGAGACGGGAAGATACGAGCTTTGGGCTCTTTCCCGTAAACACAATTAGGTAATCACACACATACAATTTCTTCTTCTTCTTCTACTTCTTCTCCTTCTTCTTCTAAGACATAAATAATGAGAAGAAAGTATTGAAATCAAAGTCTACAGAAACGTCCGGTACACATTATAGGTGTGCATGTGTTAATATGGATGAAAAGTCAAAAAAAAAAATTGTAAGGAGAGTACTTCAACTTCTTCAGTACAGTGTAAACAACGTCATAGATTGTAATGTTTAACAACTGCAATATCACTAGGAGTGCCCATGTGCACGTCCCCATATACAATTATCTGAATAAAAAAATATAATTAACGAAAAAAAAATTATGTTAATTTGTATATAAGAAGATTCTGCACAAAATAACAATTAATATGTATTGTTCTTTCGAGAATATCATACAGAAAAAAAATATATATTGCATTTATAATGATTCTGCATTAAATAACAGCTTTACTGAAAATTACAGAACAATTGAGAAAGCCTTAGGCCTAGTTATAATCCTATTTAGTGAAAGGTTAGAAAACCATATTATTATTTTTCTCAATAATTAACCGTAAAAAATTGTGAAATTGACACCTCTTCATGTCAAGGACTTTTGACAGC